ATATACAAAAAAAAAAATTAAAGCTGCTCGATAGGGTTAATGCAATGTACAATTCCACAGAGCAGTGACAAAGGGTCAGCAGAAGCAGCCAACACTCCCCAGCCTACTCTTGAGTGAAGATCATGTGCACATTCTTAATAGACAAACTACTCCTGAAGGGCCGTATTTACAGTCTATTTACATTGTCCTTTCAGGCTTTAGATTTTCCAAGTAAATGGTGCATGATCACTGTGTATGAAGGATTTCCTCCAGAGGAAAATACTCAGTCAACTGGTCTGCTGTTTGTTACTTAGAAGCCTTGATGCAAGTCTCCTGGGAACACATCCTGATCCCCGCAGACCACTAGCCATATCTCTGTAAGCACTGGAATTGAAAAATATTTTCAGAGGGTTTGATCCAGGTTTTCCATTTTACAGGCAGGAAATGGCACTGCTGTCACCCAGCAGGTCACAGTGTTCACAGCTGGGCCAGGCTCCTTTCTCCCTGGGGTCAGGCACAAGAAACAAGTTGCTATCCCTCTTGGTTCTCTCAAATGGTAACGAATACATCTGGCAGAACGCTGCCCCTGCCCTGATTTGAGCGAGCTGCTCTCCTCCACTTCACAGCGTCTTTGACTCAATACTTGTCAACACCCTGATTCCAAGCCTCAGGTTGGGAATTTTTCCAAGGCAGCATCAAGGACAGGGATGCAGTTGAGTAACGATGTCCATAACACCCACCACCTCAGAAGTGCAACAGCCAAACTGCTAACGCCCACGAACAGCAACGTGGAGAAATCCACCGCAGCGCTAGAAACTGGTTCTGGGTGGATGCCTACAGGCAGAGATCTGCCTTGCTGCGTACTGTCTGCGGCCTCGGTTGATGCCATCACAACCCCGTTTTCAGTTCAACAATTTGCAGAAAAAAAAGGGTAGCATGTTCTTCACTTCCATTTATCCTCTCAGCAGCTTAACTGTCCTATACCAGAAAGGGAAAAAAAAAAAAAAAAAAAAGAAGATTAAGTCAGCCTCATACTATGAAGAGAACATCATGTAAGAGCACATAAAGCAGCAGAACAAGTGTGCAGCATTGTACCATCTAGCAGCCTGGCCACAGCTGGCTCTTGGGAAGCACTATGTTTAGCTTCCACAAAAGGAAAGCAGCATTTCTATAACAAAAGGAGCCCAGAAAAGGCACTACAGTGCATGCTAGTTAAGTAAAGTAGTGCATTTTCTGTTTGGCTTCGATCTCAGTCCACAAATTTAAATTCTTTTTTTATCAGTCTTCAATAGGAGCTGCTCCAAGCACATGGTCCAAACAAACAGTCTACATTTTAACAGGCATGTGACTAGTCCTCTTTAAAAACAAAGAAACAAAGAACCCACCACTGAAATATGAAAAGAAAGCATTTGCTCAACTTTACAGGAAAAACTCATTTAAAAAGTCAAAAATCATATAAGGTTTTCGAATGTGGTTGTTAGAGCCCAGATAACCAGAGCCACTGGAAATCAAGGGGTTGCCTGACTCACGGCAAAAAAAGCTATCTGCCAACCACTGGTTTACACTCTCTTAGAAGTTCAGAGAGCAGAAGGCAACACAGGAGAAAATCCTGAAGGAACCACTCAGCCCATTGCAGTGGCTGACACAGCAAACCCTCAGAGGACGGGAGCGTTGTGATTAGCTCCAGCACAGGAAACCTCATGGCCTCATTTTTGGTTTTGGGTTTTTTTTTCTTTTTTTCCCCTTTCAGTATAGTCACTGCTGCAAGACTCCCGCTGTACAACACCCTCTTTGAGTCCTTGCACTCCGCTGGCCCAAAGTCCTTCCCTGCTGCAAGTACCCACTCCCCGGCTGAGCTGAGACCCAGGCAGACAGCTGCAGTTTGGCCAAACTTTTATCTGATCCCAAAGGCAACCAATGCCCACATGACAACCCCCAGGCTATGCTGGCTGCCTCTCCAAGCCCACAACATTCGCATGCTTCCCTTCAAATCCCCAACTGATTTGGGGACAATTTAATCTCCCTAACAGCCTTGACTGGAAAAGGGCAAGAAACAAGGGACAGTCCAGCGAGAGCCCTGGGCTGACCGGTGATCAGACACATTCCGAGTCTTTCGATCTAAAGAACACAATGCAAACGCCATCTCTGAAGCAGACATTCCCTGCAGGCCATGCAGCCGTGCTATCTCTGCAATGTGTCAGTAACATGAAACAACTGCAGCAAATGGCTCTCAATCAAGAAGCTTCGCAGTATGGGGAAAAAAGGAAACTGGATCTTCCTCTTAATGCATCCTAGCTGCTGTTCAATGTAGCTAAGGATGTCTAGATGCTACAACAAGAATTCCCTTAAAAATGCAGATCAAGCTGAAGAAGGAGACTACAGCTGCAGCTGGGAAGGGAAGAGGGAAAAACTCCTTTTCTCAGCCTGAAAGGGGCCACAAAAGTGCAGCCCCTTTGCTGCTAGATGGGTACTCGGGAGATTCCAAGCTCACATTCATCCACCTCAACTACAGCTCTCCTCCAAGCTGGAAAACCCCAGCCAGAATTACCTGGTCGGCACCAACCACATCAATATCGACATCTTCAGCTGTGTCTTCTGTTTGACCCTCCTCTGACACATCTTCTGTCTTCATCTCATCTTTGCTGGAAAAAAAAAAACAAGCTAAGTCTTGAGAAACTTTATACCACAAGTTGCACATTGCACAAGTCTGCTTAAGGCACAGTAGTTCACATATTAAGATCTGCTGCTGAGACATCCATGTAAGGTAGCTCAGAGTTTCTGGCTCAGTATTTCCCAGGTATGAAACAGCTTAGACTGTGAGGAATTTCCAATAAAGCAGTTCAGAAACAAAACATTCATTTAAACAGGGGCTACCTTCACGTTTAATAAATTTTTGTTCTATTTTACTTGCATTCACCAGGTCCATTCAACAAGTGTCTCAAAACCTGGAAAAGCATGTGTCTTTCTGGGATTGTGTTTCATCTTTTAACTTACCAATATGGGAAATGGCACCTAACACCTGAATAAATGAACTGTATTAAAGGAAAATATCCCAAGTGAGCACTTTGAGTGCTTTACAGAGCTCAAAAGTAGACTCCAGACTCCCTGTTTCTGCAATACTTCTCTTACATCCAAGTTCTGGGGGGTTTTACTCAGGTGTGTGTACAAACAGCCAGGGAGTAACCAACACCACAGCCCTCTCTAATCAGGACCAGAGATGAGAAATGGGACACGGAACCTTCCTCCTTCCTTGTCTTTTTCTCCGCACACTCGATATTAGTACAAGAAGGCACGGGAGCCTTGTGACAGTGGGAGACAATCAGGCTAAAGCAGCAAATGTGAGGAAACAAACCAAAAAAACCCCACCAGTCCTTGGGACACAGCCCATAAGAGAGACAGGAGGGGCACACAGCCTTTGCCCATGGAAGTATTACACAAAACAGAAACAGAGGTGGATAGAGAGACCTCAACCGTCAATACCAGGACAAGTGAGGGACCTTGTAATACATAAAACTCACCAGTATCTTCTCCGTAGTCGTCCTGGACGAAGGAATGGTAAATGTTCCTGCAAGTGCATCTCTCGAGATTTCAGCCTCTTTCTGCTTTTCCCTGCTGCAGAGGCAAGCTGGGACGCACACTGCAGTTCTGCAGCTTTGCTTGCTGCTTCAGTTTGGCTGCTTTCAGTCAAAGACCCTGTGACAGACAGTGAACAGACTCGTTCTTCAGCCTCACCCTCAGAGGTCTCAAGATGGACATTTCCAACACATTCCCTGCGGTAGTGAAGCAATGGGGCCAAGCTCAAAGGGAGATTTGGAGCAAAGCATTTTGAAGGAGCCAGCTAAAAGTCACATAAAAGAAAATCCACTTAATTTGCCCACTGGTCATTTCTGCAATCTAGATTTATGATCTTGGCCCCAGTCCATAAGTGCTATCAGTACAGCTGGGTCTATATAACCCTCAAGAAAGGAGGGCCTTTGGGATACAAAGGCACAAGCTTTCTAAAGGCAAGTCACTGAAAAGAAAATTTCTGAGAAAGGATGAGAAAGAAAATAAAGGACACTCTGGAAAAATTCCCTTTCCTCCATATACAATTGCATATGTCCATAGCATTTACCATTTTTACTAGCAATCATTTTCATAATGACTTTACTACATTTAACTAAGTCCCACTATATCCGTGCAGTGAATACCTCATTACGGATTGAAAGTCCATGAGAGCTGCTAAAGCCTGGATGCAGCCCAGCTAACTATAACTCTTTAAGTCAGGAGTATAATCTTATAGGTTCCCTAGAAATTCAACAGAGAGAAAGACCCTAGAAGATGATTTGGTCCAGATCATCTGGGCCGAAGATTTTAATCAACTCCTGGAAATACCTCTCCTGTCTCAATTATCCACAGGGCCTAAAGCAGCAATGCCCTTAACTTAACGATTGAAAGCAATGAACCAAGTCTCAATGGCACAAACAAATGCCAGAGCTCAGTACAGAGCAGAATTCAAGATTATCTGAATTCAGCTCGCTCAAAGTCTCCCGACCAACCTTACTGCTATTGAGTGATGAAAAGACCTTTCACAACAACAAAGCTGAAGGTAAGAACTACAGTTCAAACTGGGAAGTCCACAACATCCAACACACTGTGGTACTGCTAATGCAAACCATGAAGTGCATTTTAGTTGGGACAAAGCAAATACAGCTGATCCAGAACAGGGAAGTTTTCATACCGTTAGACAATTTCCTTTTACAAGAAGATATCTTAGATGTGCCCACGGGGGACCACACTCCTGAACTGCCAAGGACAGAGCTCTCCTCGTCTTCATTTGCCAATAAAGAGTTTCTGTACCAAATCAACGGCTGCCATTCGTCTCCTCTGCCAGGCAGTGGTTCCGCTATATACCTCTGTAAGTAAGCGTACCTGGAGAAAACCGAAAGCAAGCATAAGCAAACTCAGTATCTTTCTCTCTCAATATCTAGGCAAGGTATCTCTAGAAAGGTATTTTCCCTTTACTCTTCAAAGGTGCGGAGAGAACTGTCAAGGAAAAAGAACGGGCATCCCTTTTCTCAGAAATATCTGAATATTTAAAATGCAAATGCCTTCAAAACTAAGACAGTGCTTGAATTTTAGCATTAGAAACAACATCAGATCCACAGAAATTACAGAATTACATCAGTCTCTAGAAAGAATTTCCTGTGCAGGAAGTCACTGCCAATTGCTGCTGGCAGGAGCAGTCTGAACGGAGCAGAACTCTGCCAGGATGCACCCTTCTCCTGGTGGCCCTTCTCTGCCTCATGGACTGCAACGCAAAGGAGATCCCAGGCGAGAGATGCTCCTGGTGATTCAATAGTACAGCAGGTCAGGAAATGGGGTATTTATGCCATGAGTGCCTGTTTTGTCAAAATGAAAAACAAGAACAACCAGTTAAACCACTTTCCTATAATATCACCTCAAACTCAATCCAATTCCCTTGGGTTCCCAACAAAATTTCAAGTGTCTGCAAGAAGCCGTTAACAGCTCTGCACTTATGACAACACACAGGATGTGGGAAACATCAGTTCAAATCCCTCTTCTGCCTGATTCAATCCAGAGACTTGACATTGGGCCTCCTTGAATCGCAGGTGAAGCTATCACCTTTTCTGGAGCAAAGAGATCTCCTTCAAACATTCTTTTTGAGAAACAGGACATTTCAGAGAAAGTCTTTCTGACCCATTCCTACTTCATAACAGTAAGAAAAGAAAACCAAAGTCTGACTGTGGATTAGAAACTGGATAGTCACTACATTTCAGCTACAGCTCATCACTTTGAAATCAAGTCCAGTGTTGTTAAAACAGACCCCACCTTAGCAAATACCAGAAGTGACAGTTTTAACGCCAGCCTGTACAGTACATTATTCTTTCTTTGATTAGGAGTGTGGCCTGGAAAATATCAGACGTTTCATTCACTTTGCAAAACAAGAAAACCGGTGCCGGGAGGAGGTTAGGGTAAGCACCGACTCCGAAACAATTAGAGTCCTGGACTCTGGGGGCCCCAGGGATCAAGAAACCCTGGTAATGGAATTTGTTGGTTTCAAACAAGCATGTATTGTAACTACTGTTTTAGGGTCTAATCCAACTGCTATCAATGTCAATGGAAAGACTCTGACTGATTCAGGAATCGGGCCCTTCATGCTGCTTGTTATACAATAATTCATGTCTGGTGTGCATTTGGTGGCACAGAGCAATTGACAAGTCAGCTATTTTACTGTTGCAGCCCCGGCAATTACAGGGGAGGAGGTTAAAATCCGTATACTTTGATGGTGTTGAAATATACTCCTTTCTAACAAATGCCCATATTCTGTATCTCATCTGTTACAGGCACATTCACATATGTTAACATACAGACCTGGACATCAATCCTATGATTAATAATAAAAATGAAAATAACCAGATGTTTATTTCTAAAAGTTCATGTTGACCTAAAACATTCCATCCAGTAATTTATGATGGGGTTAAACCTAAATATTTCTAAGAGGAAATATAATCTCCAGCCCCTGCAAGGCATTTTAGGCCTCCCAGAATAGAAACTGTTACTCTAGAAACATAGTTGAGTGTAGTTGTGGATAAAATTGCAATTTCCCCCCTTGTGAATTTTATTGTTTCCCATTTGTTCCCAGCAGCAGTGGGAAGGTCCAAAGCAGTAAGAACTGAAGTCAAAGTGCATTCCCTGATAGGTTCTGTATTTCCCACAAAAGTTTTCAATGAATAAAACTACCTGAATGTATCTAATACATTCAGGAATATACTTCTGGAATATATCCTCTGGTCAAGAAGTTAAATATAGCCCTAGGAGAAAAACTACCAGAATTTAGCTTTAAATCTGCCCACATCAATGATGAAATATTTTCCTCTTGTTTAATTAAACATTACTCCTTGGAGGGAAATGAAATGACAAAGATTTTCAAGGATGGATTAACAGAAATCTACTTACTGCACAAGTGTCACCACACAGATGAAAACAACTCTTTAAAATCCAGACAACATGGACATAGTTGTACAGAAGCTGTAGAAAACAGGGCCTGGAGCACCTCCCCTATGAGGACAGGCTGGACAGGGGTTGTTCAGCCTGGAGAAGAGAAGGCTCCAGGGAGACCTCACAGCAGCCTTCCAGTACCTAAAAGGGAGGCTACAGGAAAGCCAGGGAGGGACTCTTTATCAGGGGCATGTAGTGACAGGATGAGGGGCAATGGTTTTAAACCGGCAGAGGGAAGATTTAGGTTAGATATTAGGAAGAAATTCTTCACGGTGAAGGTGGTGAGGCAGTGGCACAGGTTGCCCAGAGAAGCTGTGGATGCCCCATCCCTGGAAGTGTTCAAGGCCAGGTTGGATGGGGCTTTGAGCAACCTGGTCTGGTGGGAGGTGTCCCTGCCCATGGCAGGGGGGTTGGAACTAGGTGGTCTTTAAGGTCCCTTCCAACCCAAACCCTTCTGTGATTCTATGATTCTATCAAAACCAATTCTAGTCATAGATCTCATAGATTCTCTCTGAGAAAAACGCAAGAATAGAAAGGGAAGTTATCACTACCCACAGATTATCCACGGTAGATTTACAAGGGGTTGCAATCATTATATGTCAATATTTTTCTTCTGTATTTTGCATTTTGGGTTTGATTTCATTTTTTAAAATACATTGTCTGGGTAGCTGGCACTTATTAATAAATTGTGTTTGTCATGTAAACAGGAAAGTAGCCCTTTTACCACCTTTGACCCTTGTTATATAAAAACTGGTTGATGATCCCCATGGACGTTACCCTCCCATTTAAGACAAAGTGACACAGGAGTAAGTAAGTTACACAGGACTCAGCAAGATGTGATGGTTGGGGTTTTTTTTCCATTTCTGTTGAATTCTTCTGCAAAGTGGAACTTTTCGTGTCAGGTACTAGAGTGATTTGCTCAGAAATTCAAAAAGGCAGATGTGTCTTAATTCTACATTCTACATGTCTTCAAGTATGCTCTCAGGAAAATGGAAATATCTGTTACATATTTTGCAATAGTTTTTACAGTATCTGTAGATAGAAGACTGAAGTACAGAGATCCAGATCCAAAATAAGCAGCACTGACTAGGGGAGTAAAGACAAAGGTCAAATAGAAGGAAGAACATTACTTCCTTCTCAGAAATGACTGGAGTTGAGGCAGGTGAAGAATGGAATAAGACACATAATCATACATCTCTCTGTTCAGATGTGTAATGCCCCATGATGCCAAAAGAGGGCTATCATTCTTATATTATTAAATGTAAATATTTGAACCACTGTAAAACATGGGCCCAACTGGATCAGGGCATATTCCCCAGTAAATAGTAAATTCTTTAATTTAAATATCCACATTACGAATAGTATCATGTATATTTCCATTCCAAATATATTCCATCAAAGTCAGGTAATTGAGTCCTGAAGCTGTGGAATTAGATCATTACAAAATAATGACCCAGGCACTATCTTTTCCTCAATCTTTTCTGCTTTACTTTTCTGTTTAGAAAAGCATTACCATTAGCCAGTCAAGTTGCAAATCTCTTTCACCAAGCTAACATTGTCTTTCCTTTAGAAGAATTGCCATATGTGGCCACAACTATGTCTAAAAAAGATCTAGAATGCAGACTGCACATACGATCTGAAATAACTGATACCACAAAAGTCAACAAGTGTGTCTCAAACTAACAGCCTTAGGGGCGGATTGATTTCAAAGGTTCTCTGAAAAGCCCTTGAGCAAGTTCTGCAACACTGAAGGTCAAGCGTCCCATGTACAGGGATACACAAAGCACAAACTGTGTATGATAGTGCACAAGAACTTAACTTACACTAGTCTTTTGTCTGGCTTTAGCAGTTTGTTGGAAAATTCACTGATGATTAACAGAAAGCTCAAGTTAGGAGGTAAGCATTTTCCATCTACTCCAGTAGCTCCTTGAAAAGCAAATTCGATCCCTTCCCTATTGGAAGAAAAAAAAAAAAAAGAAAAAACACAACAAGAGTAATAAAACAGACAACTAACAAAAGCAATGACCATGGACAAAGTGATGTTACGTGGCACATACTTGTGTATCATGGCTACAGATTCTCTAGATTTCACTTGGTCCCAGCCAAACGTTAGTGAAAAGCGACGAGCAAGTTCTTTTATATTTGTGAAGGAAGCAGAGAAGTCCACACTTTTACCGCTGTCTTGGCTTTTTGCATGTGTCTGAAACAGCTGCAAAAGAAGTCTCAGATAAGCAACCATATGTAATCCTACAGGCAAACAAAGACCAGGACACAGAGACATGCACAGCAAGCAACAGTTTGCTTAAACAGAAAGAAGCCTTACAAAAGAGCAGGTTAGTCATGTGCGTCAGAAGTGCACAACTGGAACGACGAGGAACTGACACAAAGGACACTGTTGTGCATAACAGATAGGTACAAATCCAAGAATAAAAATAAAAATGATGTGCATAAACAGAGATGATGGCTCCACTGACCCCATCTCCTGTTGGGACTTCTGAATCAAACCCAGAGACCTAATTTTCCCGAGAGGCTTTCAGGATATCAGGATGCAGATATAAAGCAGCAAGTTTGGCATCAGCTAGTTTAATTTCTGAAAGTGAGACTGGGTCAAAAGCACATCTCGAGGTCAAGTAACTATGTTTTGGGTTTTTTTCTTAACAGAAGATGGAGGTAGCTTGTTCTCTTCAACCTGTTAACTTTCAAGGTCACACAAAGGCCAAAAAGGGCCTGTTGTCTATGTGATACCTAAACACAAAGTCCTGACTATGTCAGCAGAATATATGTAGTCAAATGCTGCTTAGCCTCCCCTAAGCTCAGATTTCAGGGGCTAGTTCACAGATCTAAGCCCCTGGCAAAGTGTGTGAAATAAGCAAAGCTCATGTATCAGTACCCCCTGGGAGGAGCCTGCTCGGTGGCTTACAGCGGGACTCCAAGCTAGAAGCAGCTCTGGTCATGGGCAGAGCCGGCAAAAGCAGCTGCTAAAATAGCTAACTGGCCTCATCAGTCAGCAGCTGCAAGCTCCAGCAACTCAGACCCTTCAGACCCTTCAGAAAAGCTGTGACCCACCCAGAAAAAAAATACTGAAAAGACTGGGGATTAGAGCTGGCCAACCACAGACACATTTGTGGTTCCTCAAATTCAATAGGAATTGAGGTAGTCCACAAAACACAGAATAATATCCTTAACCTTTGTTAAGAGACAACTACCATGTCCTAAGAAACACTCCGTGATCTCACATCAGTCCTAATACACTATGCATCTGAAGATTAAAAACAAGACAAAAAAATCGTGCACAAAATTACATTTTAAAACAGATGTAATGATTTGAAAGTTTTATTTATGACATGCAAAAACAACATACACATAGAAAGTACAGACAAGGAAACGATTTCTTCCACTAGGTTTTTTAATGAATCTGAATAATTATGGCAAGGTAGGTAAAAAAGTCCAATATGAAATCAGCTGTCATAAGAGCCCCTAGCCTCTTGCTTTAATCTTAACCTTACCTGCTGCAGACAGAGAATCAGTGTCTTGGCACTCTGAATTTTGTCATTGTGCCTTGTCTTGCTTAACGTTTCTTTAATTATGTCTCCAAAATCATTGTAGGTCTATTAACAGCAACAAAACAAATGAGAATTATCATTCCCCTTCTTTAGCACTGGGAGTACACAAAACACATGACTGTGTTTATCTGACACAAGAAGTTCACAGAATACTCCCAATACCGGAACACCCAAGCTAAAAGATGAAAACTGGACTTTTTATATTATTTAACAAATAAGGCAATGGTATGCTCCTTTAAAAGTAATGTGAGGATTAAAGTTACACTGAAATTATTAAGTATTTATTATAGCAAAAGAACAAAGCCTCCTCAGGAGAGAAACAGAGAGTTTTCTGTATTTAACCAGTGCTTCCCTTGAGCCCAATGAAGTAAAGAACAAGATCCATATGCAGGTATTTCTGAAGTCCTGTTAGTTGACTCAGGGAAACTGCCCACCACTCTGTGCTGTTCTTGGCCCTCTTGAAACCCACCTCAGAGTGGCTGAAGCACTACCAGTTGTCTAAACAGCAGGACTCATGTGACATCTAGGCCATCTGCATATGGACTGCGTAAGCGGTATGAAGTAAGTTGGCCGCTCCAGTGTGAAAATCTCTATAGTTAAAACACTCTCCCAGCCATAAACTGTTTCTCTGTAATGGTCTCTCTGGAGAAGCTGAGGAGCACGGGTTCAGACAGACATAACCTCTACTCAATTTTCAGTTACTTTCTCTGCAGTGAGGTACCTTTGCAGAGCAAAGAGGAGAGATTTGTCCCACTCTTGCTTGATTTTATAGCCCTTTTGTGATAATACAAGGATTCAGAGCCATAAAACTATTAACCCCACATCTTTCACAAACACTGGAGTCACTTTCAAAAACTAAAATGCACTGATAGGCAAACCAACCTTATCTAAAACATTACCTTCACATAATACTTAAAGATCTCAGCAGCCGCAGTCATCTCTACCACATTATACACTATTAACTTGCAATATGCTGCAAGAAGACTCCGCTTTTTGTGCAAGTCGTCAAGTTTGCAACTTTCATCCTTTCTCTCCTCCTCTTCTGTCAGGTCTAGGGAAACAAAAGCATTGAAGCTTTGTTCTACTACTTTATTCAAGATATCTCAATTTTAATGACCAACTTTCATCCAAATAGCACAGACTCGGCTATTCAGTCAACATGCTAGGCAACAGATGCTAGCGCTCATTGCTGTGTATACCAGAACACACAGGTTTATTTTTATTTCAAAGCTTGCAGCTGATGACAGTGAAAACAAGTTATTTCCAGAGTCTTCCACTCTGATCTTCACAGGGCTTTAGCATTTCTACTAGTCAGAATCTCCTTGTGCAACACTGCTCACAGATACAGAACAGAACCTGAGTGCAGAATAAAAGGCAAAAACACACCAAATGCAAGAGACCAGACAAATTGCAACCACACTTTTTTTCCCTAGAATAACACAGATGCTAGAAAACCAGCACATAACTCATCAGAAACCCTTCAAAAGTTGCCATACACAGTCAACAAGAGAAGATTAAACTCTCTAAGCGGTTTTCAACAAAAGTGAAAGAAAAAAGTAATTTCATATCATTAAGAACATATTAAGTCTCTGGAACATGGGTTAATTACTAGCTGGATAACTTGTAGAAAACAAATACTCTTAAGAGTCTTCCAACATAGCTATGAAGGTGCCTGGGGAGAGCTTCTTGCAGCAGGAGAGCTAATATACACCCTTTCCTGCTGTGAATGTAGTTTATCAACTGCCAAAGGGCTTCAGTCTTTGGCCTATAATTTTGATGTGGACTGTTTCCACTTCTAGCACAACTGCAGTCCTGGAAACAAACATAAGGCAAGTGACTGATCAGAAGTATCTGCAAATTAGAGTTAAAACTAAAATGGAGCAGCTGCCAGCTAAGCATACAGACAAGGACATCTATAGCATGACAAAATCACTCATTCAGGAAGGAATCTGCAATGGGATGCCAGGGATCCTTTGTGGGGAGGACTGAGAAATGGAAAGCGTCATACAAAATGGGTTTGAAACAGACCCCAGGCCATCTAACCCAAAACAGGATCAATTTTATCAGTTTCAGATACATAACATATGCAACCTGAAACAACCTGCTTCAAAAACTCCCATGACTAGGATGCTACGATCTACTTGAGCAATCTTTTCTATTGTATCTCTACCTTTACCAATAAGGATTCTCTTCTACTATCTCCCTGTTACAATTTAGGCCCATCACTTCTTGCATATACACTATGACCTGAAGTGTGGTCCCCCAAAACTGAACACAGAACTCCATGTGAACAGCTGAAGGACAAGAGTTTGACACAGTAATCTAGAACAATGCTTGGTTTTTCAAAGCATGACCCTTGAACTCAGCCTCAAAACCACAATGAACTAACAATCTGTTCTCAAAACACTCCCCAAAGAAACCAGCCATCACAATAACAGCCTCAATATGGCATCTGAATGTGTTTGAAAAAGGCAACAGAGCAACAAGTACTATTTCCTACTGGATTGAGAGCAGCCCTGAGGAGGACTTGGCACACACCCGGCAATGTGTACTTGCAGCCCAGAAAGCCAACCGTGTCCTGGGCTGTATCCAAAGCAGCGTGACCAGCAGGTCGAGGGAGGGGATTCTGCCCCTCTGCTCTGCTCTGGTGAGACCCCCCCCCCGCAGCACTGCCTTCAGCTCTGGGGTCCTCAGCACAAGAAGGACATGGACCTGTTGGAGCGAGTCCAGAGGAGGCCACGAAGGTGATCGAGGGCTGGAGCACCTCTGCTGTGAGGACAGGCTGAGAGAGTTGGGGTCGTTCAGCCTGGAGAAGAGAAGGCTCCGGGGAGACCTTAGAGCAGCCTTCCAGTACCTAAAAGGGGGGCTACAAGAAAGCTGGGGAGGGACTATTTACATGGGCATGTAGTGATAGGCTCTAGGGTAATGGCTTTAAACAGAGAGGGTGGATTTAGATTAGATATTAGGAAGAAATTCTTCATGGTGAGGGTGGTGAGGCACTGGCACAGGTTGCCCAGAGAAGCTATGGATGCCCCATCCCTGGAAGTGTTCCAGGCCAGGTTGGATGGGGCTTTGAGCAACCTGGTCTGGTGGAAGGTGTCCCTGCCCATGGCAGGGGGGTTGGAACTAGGTGATCTTTAAGGTCCCTTCCAACCAACCCATTCTGTGATTCTATGAAATCTGCCCTGCACCCCCCAAATCAAAACCCACTAGTCCTTTACTTTGATGGCTTAGAAGTGTCCATGCATTGACATCACACTGTAACACTGCAAGGCCTTCCTCTAACACCATCATCTGTACCACCAGCCTACCAAATACTTTTACATTCTTACCCATCAGCCCTTTTCATCCTACAAGTAAATTGGCAGCTATTTCCTGTGGTCGATGCACGGTGGATACAGATCAGTGAATAACCGGTCAGCCACTTTGTAAAAGGGCCCATCCAAAAAAAACCTAACAACAAAAAAAGACCAGTCCCTTTTCCTGACACATTCAGTGCAGATGGCAAATGACAGCAAAAGTGGTAGATTGTTTCTTCAGTGATGAAGATGTCTAACCTTTGCTTTCCTCTTCTTCCTCCACGAAAACATGTTCCTGGATAAACAAAAGCAGTTTTTCCTGAAGTGATGTGCTAGGAAGATAATCTAGAAGTCCAACTGCTTCTTCATTATTATTTGAATCCTGGTGACTCAAAATCAGCAACCAGTCACAGAGTATCATGAAGGCCTGTATCAAGCAAACAAAGCCAAAGGAGGATTTAGAGACCATGTTACTTTTCATGCCAACTCCACTTTCCATCTCCATCAAACACCACAAGTCACAATCTAGCTTCTATCCCACTTCTTTCTCACAAGCTAAAGATTTCTCTTTGCCCCAACGTGTGGTAAAATGCCACAGCTAAGCCCTTCCAGAACTTGTACCTGAGGATACAGTATATACAAGTATCATGCATGAGCACCACCTAAAGATTTTCAAACTTCCACGGGAAGGAAGAAGAGCTCTATTATGCTAGAATAGTTCTCTTTTAACATGTGAATCACTGGACAATTTCTCCAATTTTTTTTTTTTTTAAGTAATATTCATAGCAAGGCATTAATAAAGCAATGAGAGCAACAAGTACACTCATCAGTTTAATCAGGAAACACGACTATCAACTAGCAAACTGAGTCATTCAGATAGATTCAGGCCTTGATTCTGCAGATGGACCCATGCAGACACACGTCTATGCTTGGTTAAAGCACTAACTTTTGTAGCATTTTAACTAACAACTTTAATTTTCCTTCAAAATAAATATTTGAAGACTGTTTTTTTTAAACAGTTATTTCTCTGCTAAGAGACAAAAAAATAGCAAAAATCAGTAGAAGGGAATAGTATGAAAAGAAAGACAGGCATTTAAAAGGAGGACTGAGCATGAACACCAGTTAAAGTGATAGAGAAACACAAACCTTTTCTCTTACATCTTTTTCCTTATGGTGGAGGAAGTACATGCAAATCTGACTGAAACGTGTCAGCTCTCTTCTTAGTGCAAAAAGAGACTCCTAAAAATGTATTTAGGAAAGGCAACAGGACAAATATGTTAGGAGCTATGATTCAATAGAGAGTTACAGAACAAACAACAGTTGCATCTTTCTTCCACTGATCATTCAAGATAGCACAGCTGATGATATTATGAAGGAAGCTGACATCTCACAGTAGTAACAACTTACTGGCTATGAACAACTTTAAAACCATGTCTTGTTTTCAGGCACAATATGTGGGTCAATAGATAGAATAGAAAGGTCAATCCATAAAAATATGTATTTCCCCCCCACTGTGGTGCAGAAATGTCACAAACACTAGTAGGGCATGTGCATCTGTCTGACTTGCTGAGGCTAGTGGTATTCAGCAAGTCACAAACTCTTTGTTTCTCCATCTGTAGTACAGGCAGCTCTAATAGCATGTATTCCCTTATTCACTTCAGCTTATCCTTATAAAGCAGTGATAATGATTTCTACTTTAGAGATGGAAGTAGAGTCATAAAAACTTGCCTCCATCCCACCTAATTTTCAATGTGTATTGCCTCCTGGAGTTGCTCTTCTTTCTCCCTCTATTGACTATAGAGGGAACGCAGTTTAACTATACTGCTAACTTTGGAACTCAGAAACGTAGACATCTCTATTAGTTAACATGAACCCGGCAAGACAGACTATTTGATTTGCCCAAAGCCACATAAAAGACTTTCTGATCCTTCACCAGGTCCCAGCTGTTGCACTGCAACGAGTTTTGAGAAAGGTTGAGAGAGCTGGGGTTGTTCAGCCTGGTCTCCAGGACAACCTTACAGCAGCCTTCCAGTACCTAAAGGGGCCTACAAGAAAGCTGGGGAGGGACTTTTTACAAGGGCAGGTAGTGATAGGACAAGGGGTAATGGCTTTAAACTGAGAGAGGGTGGATTTAGATTAGATATTAGGAAGAAATTCTTCACGGTGAAGGTGGTGAGGCAGTGGCACAGGTTGCCCAGAGAAGCTGTGGCTGCCCCATCCCTGGAAGTGTTCAAGGCCAGGTTGGATGGGGCTTTGAGCAACCTGGTCTGGTGGAAGGTGTCCCTGCCCATGGCAGGGGGGTTGGAACTAGGTGATCTTTAAGGTCTCTTCCAACCAAACCATTCTATAAGAGGAATGCCCTTACAGGAGGGCTGGATTTCATGCTGTGCAACTGTATCTTCAGAAGAAAGGGGATCTATCCCAGGGCATGCTGAGAAGGGGAGGGGGGGGGGGGGGCGCAAAACACTGCATTAGACCTACACTGCAGTAGCACTACTGGGAGAGGAGGAGGCGGGGAAGAAACAGTCCTAGAGCTGCTGTCCAGGAAACGTTCTTTTTTGCTCTTGGAACATCTCTCTCTGCCAACATCCAGACTTGGCCCTGCATAGTGGGCCGTAACATTGTGCTTCCAATCAAAAGCTGCTCCTTTATGAAAGGCCAAATTAAAAAATGTGCTGCCCCATTATCAGTCAAGCTAACCGTGTCTGGACTGAAGGGCAGAACATATTAGAGCAGTGAGAGACGCGGACATCCACACAGGAATGGAACAAGACGGGAATAGATAGTGAATCAGTCACCAAACGGGTAACCTCCCAGCTAGCATTTCTCACACAAAACAAATGTCCGTGTCAGCGTCCTGTTCTGTACACACAGGAGCACCAGGGGAGGGGGACAGAATGACAGAAGCAGCAGCGCTCAGTGTAGTCAGAAATCACCATAAAGAGGAGCTGTACAAGTACACATTCACACGTGAACCAAAGCATAAAAGAGTTTTCCTCTCTGGTGCCTTAAACTAGACTGTCTTCTGAAATACCTGGCAGAGCTTGGCACTTTATAAAACCAATTAAGAAAGTAAATAGTCAGCTGATGATAAAATTACCACTTTCAAACTTTCTGCCAGAAATACGTAAGTAAAACAAGAAAATAAAAACTAAACAAAGCAACAGGACTTCCTGGAGTTTTCATTGAATATTCTTTGTTGCTTAAAACATGAAAACAACAAACTGTTTGGCAGTGGAACAAGCTCCTTATCTCCATCAAGCCCCAGGAATTCAATGCACATGTTTTGCAGTAAAAATAGAGGCAAACCATTGTTCACTTATTCTCTTGCAGACTGAAAAAGCATAAACACTTTTTTTAAAAAAAAAAAAGAGGGCAAGACAGAGAGGAAAATACCTAGACTCAGTTTGGTTTCCTCAAGAAAATACACAAATTATCTTCTTAGAAAGAAGATAATTGTTTTTTCTGGCAATCTGAGAACAGAAAAGCAACTTGAACTTCTAGACGCACAACTCTAGGTTTCAAAATTACATGGAATGGCCAACCTTGGGAGAATTTTCTGAAACTGCAACTAGTTGCCACAGGAGAGAAAAATATGTGCACTGGAGGGCTGGCAGGATAATCTGCAAATAAAAACACATGTCCTTTATTTACATTAAAGGTTCGACAGCAAAAAGCTTAGGACTAAACAAAGCATCCAAGCCTGACATTCCGCATGCTGCTTGCATGATCATTTCTGCACTGTAAAGTATTTAAATCCTCAAAATAAGCTTAACAGGTTTACATACAAGCAAATGTTGCCTCCTGAGAAACTTCATTACTAAGGTGCTGCTTCTGCAGAACTCTTGACATCTTGATGAGTTCAATGGAAAGTAACCAAGTAATCATGTACTAAAAAGGGTATTCACAGAGGCTAACTTTAGCTTAGCCTCTCAGGATTTCTCTGCAGTCTTTGGTGAAAGGCAGACTCCTCCAGAGGGCAATTCAGAGCAGAAGCCAAACCTTGGTGCTCTGATGCTCCATCTAAAGGAGTCCACCTCTATCCCCTGGCTGCAGGCTCTGTCTACTCAACTAAATTTCACCCCTTCCCAAATAACCTCAAGTTCTCTCCTGAAAACAGGGGCTGATGAACATTCACGACTGCTGGAGTACTTCACCTTGTAATCCCAGGATATACACCTCCATTTTGGCATAGCCAACATTTGAGTTGAGGCAACCAGACAACCAAAAGGCTGCAGTTGAGACAACTGGTAATTACAAACCAGTTTCACCAAGAGTCAATATGCAAGCCACCAGTCCAAATTATTCCAGTTTCTGGTTACATGCAATCTGTAAGAGGCTCCTCACAGTCCCAACAATTTCATACGTACTGAGTGCAAGACTGTGCAATCAATGGGAAGTACTGAGCATACAACTGATCAATCCAGATGTCAGATAATTATCATAGTTTTGGATAATCTCCAAAACAAATGAATCTAAATGAATTTACTGATTCCAATAACGTTATATCAAAGACAGCCTCAGTTTCCCAGACTGAGAAATGGAAACAGTATCTTCATGCCTTACAGGACACTGATATACAAGATTATTTCATATTTCCTAATTTTCCTGCTTTCAACAAGAAAAACCTCTTTCAATGTTAAATATTAACAACTCACCAGAACCGGCAAACTCCCCTGTTCCATTTCAAACACCAGTAACCTTAAAGTCTTGTCATACAGATTCCACTTGGTGAGATCATGGGCACTGCAAGTGAAAAAGAAACAATAATAATGCACTAAGCAAGAAATGAAACCTCACCTGACCAAACAGGTTAAATGCATCCTATTTTTGCCTTTATCTGATATACAGCAATAATGTTAAACAACCAATTATTAATTTTAAAGGGGGGAAAAATGAAATTAAGTTTTTAATGATCTAATGCTGCATCCTTTACTCCATAGCTTTACAGTCTGCATTCCTACTACAAAACTGCAGTGTCATGAGGAGAGGACAAAGAAGCTTGAGCTCTGTACCTTTTCCTATACTCTATCCACACTCTCTAAGTGCTCAAAAAGGTCTAAAGAACAATTTCTCCACCCAGCTTTTCTAGACTGTTTCTAATACTCTTGAGCTTTCGCAACTCAACGTTAGACTTCTCTTTGCAAAAACAGAGCAGCCCTAGCACACAGGATAGGTAAAAGGCACATTGAGAAGAAAGCCCAATTCCTCCACCCTGTACTATCTTGCATGACAATTTAATTGGTGAACAATCCCTGCAGAACCAAGCTTTTGAGAAATCCATCTTTTAACAAAAGAAGATCAAATAAACTAAAACAAACAAAGCAGATTACATCTGCTGGGAAAAAAGACTGCATTCACTATACCCTCTTCAGACTGACCACCAGTGTGGACAGTAAGGCAGTGCAAAAGCATTCAGCTAGGAGGGAGGCACCACAGATAAGAGTATCCGCTCTGACATCCCAACTCTGTAGCACACACTTCTCAGCCCTATTAGGGCTGATGCTCCAACCTCAGAAGCGAGTCCAAAAAGAATTCCATACCCAAGAGTACAGTTCTGTTAAGAAGAAACTAAACCTTGCAGCACCTCTCATAGGGATCATTTTCATTCTCTTGTGAAAAATCTTATTAAACTCAACAAACAAGAGCAATTCTCACTTCACACCTGTTAGGTTGACACTTAAGTATATGAAAAAGTAAATTGTGTAAATAAATATCTCACTTATGAAAAGCTGCTACTCTTCTCAAAGCAGAGTGCATCCGGGAAATTTTTCCAGCATCCATAAAAAATCCTTCTTCCTAAATTATGAAAGTTTGGGAAAGAGAAAGGAATTAACCAGCGTGGGGAAAGGCAACCACTATGTTCTTTTCCCAACCAACCCACAAGCTTGAATTACTCTCCTCCAGCCCTCCCCAGTCCCTTGACCTTTAACCATGCTACTCTTGTCTTCCTCTACAGTAAAAAGAAAACAATATGTTGACTACACAGAAATTTTGTATAAGGAAATGTCCCTGTCATTAATGAACCCGTGGCAACCTCCCTAGACTACAGTATTGCTAACACAGAGTAAAAACTAGCAATTAGGTTCGCACAGAAGTGCTAACCCTCAGACTCATGGGCCATTCATGGTCCCTCACACAGTTGTTAAGGTTCTCTGGAAAACTAACTGTTCACATGGTACTGACTCTCCTTGCTTCCAGCTGCCAGATCACATTCAAAGATAGCTAAAAATATATTAAATACTTTCCCATAGATGCAATTGCTGTAGTTTCCACAAGTATACTACGTGATTATGAGAGACAGTATATACAACCAGGAATTAGAAGGGAGGGGTTCCAGGAGAAAATCTCTTTATTTAGATATAGATCACACTACGAAGGAGTGGAAGAATCCCTGGTCTAGCACTTATCTTGTTTCTCATAAGTACACATTCTCCCACATTGACACAGATATCTATTTAAGACCAACAAAATAAATCCAATCTGAGGTTAGGGGATTTTTTGGCTTGACACATTTTACAATATCCCAGTGTCCAATAAAAACCTGCCAGTGTTAACTCTCATACCATGGCATGACACCTGTTCATGACGGCACAGTTGATCAGATCAGCTGCGGGCTTCTGTTGTTCAGTTCAGCCAGCAAGCTATTCATATCACCACCAGCTGTTTCTGCTTTTTAGAACTAATGAAAAACTTTGAGGGAGACTGCAGTCCTCCTTCGAGGGGAAAGTCATCATGTCAAAGACCCCAAAGTTATACAATCTGCATTACAGACTGTCTTTTTTTTTTTCCCCTAGTACTATCTCTACAGTCAAAGTGGCAGCACAAAGGACATCTTGTGCACAGTCTAATATGTAGAAGTACAGAACTTTTTGTAACAGCCTCATCACATATAGATCCACAGCACTTATTAGCTGATCTTGCACATAGTATCTTTGACACAGTAATGGAACAACTATGGAACAACTATAGAGCAACTATTTAGCTTATGTCCAGAATATTCAAAAGACGTAAAATGCCCTGTTGCTCGTGTGGACTACCTCTTTTTTTTTTTTCTTTCTCCCCACTCTATTCCTGCCCAAATACATTTGCTTCATTAAAATGTAAACAGTCAACCTTTTCAGAGGCGCAAACCCATCTTTGACAGTACTCCTCCCCTCCAGCATAAACAGCACGCAAAGAATAGTTTCATATCCGCCTTAATTTTTTTATCTTCTTTTTTCATAGGGAAACAGTCTGTTTACCTCCACAATGAGTCACACTTACCTTTTGCCAGAAGCCATCTAGTAGCTGGTTAAGCTCTCCCATCAACCCATCTATCAGTTGAGTTCGGGCATGATCCACCTGGCTATAGATGGCAATTTCTTCACTGCAGAGGATATAATAAGTCCTGGAGGAAGCCTCAAGGACAGACATGTCAGAGTGTTTGGCCACAATATCTTTTACCTCTTTCAGCAAAGCATCCAAGTGCTGCAGGTGATAAAAGGAGTATTACAGGTAAATTGTGCAAAAATCACTCATGCTTTAGATACATTTCACAAGGCCCATATATCTCTATAAGTCATGCAACCAACATGAAACAAATGCCAGTCTAAGGAGCAGATGGGCAGGATTAGAGGATACAACATTTTTCTGGGTTTATAGTTCTTTTTTATTAATATTGTCTCTGGAGTTTCCTAAAGAATGAAGCAACTACTTTAAGGTCTACTTTAGCAATACACGTTTGGCACTACATAAAGACAAAGGTAGGGAATAAAAAAATGCCTTTCCAAAGGACAGGTGTGTCTCCAAACAATGGAAGTTGTCTCTCTCAGCAGCAGAGGATGGAGAATGTTTCAGATCACATCAGCAACTGAGGTCTTCACTCTTAGTGAGAGGAGGCAACTTCTGCCATTCTGCTGACCCTCTCTCTTTCTTCCGGGTAAGGTTTTGTGCTGAAATTAACCTAGGAGTGTTCGCCTAACATTACCTCCCTGTACACATCCCTGCTTAAGAATACATTAAGCTATTTCAAGGATTTCATCTATCCATTTCTGACCAACCCTCTCCCATCAGCAGATATACTATCTCCATTCTTATCTTTCAGTTACTATCACTCCCCAGCAGCTGGGAGTCAGTCTTCAAGGAGAATGAAACCCACTGTGTAGTAAACTCCTAGGAGACACCAGCTTAGACACATGGCATAACCCACCCTCTCTCCACCCAACAATGAAAAACCCAGGGCCAGACCTACAACATAAAACCACAAATCATTACCCACCAGGGCCAGGCACAGCATATCAGAATTGACAAGCACTACAGCTTTTCTTTGGCAGCCCCAAATCAAAAAGTAAAGCCTGAATAAGGCCACTTTCCTCAAGGTATGAGACCATTTTTTTATATTTCAACAGTCTCCCACCTGTTCCAAGTCCCACTAAACTCTGTACTTTGTCACACAAATTTAGCACATTCCACATGAACTGACTACCCCAATTCCTATTCACCTTCTCTAGATGTCCCGTACTGTAAACATCTAAATCATAATACTGAGGAATCTGCAGAAGATTTGCCACTTTTTGTGCATCTGTTGAATACTGCAGAGAAAAAACAGGATATGAGTACACTGCAGGAATTTTAATGAAATATTTAACATGCATTCACAGAGCAGCTGTTAGTTACCTTTGCCAAGAGCTGAGGAAGCACCATAATAAAGTGCTCAGTAATTTTGGTACAATCTTCCAATTGTATTTTCTTCTCTTTTACTGACAGAATCTGCAGATAAAGCATTTTGTTTCCATTATAAAATTGCTTAGATTTGAGTGGAATTTTACATGTAACCCAAGGTTAACTCACATGCCTTTGTCTAAAGCATACCAAGCTAAGACAAAGATACTTTTCCATGGAGACAACTAGATGCTTTTTTTTTCTTAACCTTAAATTAGATGCAAATCGCTAAACAGCTATACCTCATGGATAAAATGCTCACCATTTGTCAATAACATGCTTCAACTGGCTTTCCTCTAATGTTCATCTCCTTAAACATCCACTACTAATAAGATCTAGAGGTCAAAAGACACTTTGTCATTTCATAAAAATAAGCCATTTTATATCCTAAGATATACCTACCACTAGGAACATGCTGTCTGGTGAAGTACATAAGGCAAAGACAATGTGATTACAGGACAATAAATAAGACTAAGATGTACTGACTTTTTTGGCTGCACCTCTGCCCACTGGAGGATGACCTTCAGCTGCTTCTCTAACCGTTGCGAGGATAATTTCAATGAGAGCACTTTCATGGGCATCACTCAGTGCTGTAAGTAAATCAGTCTCCTTTCAGCATCACACAAAAGAAAAATGAAGATGCAGCAACAGCTAATGTAAAGGCTATTCATTTATCTGAGCAACTGTGGAAGGACACTACAGAAAGGAAGATGCAGTGTTGCTAAATAAACACCTAGAGAGTGTTTGATTTAATTTGAAGAAAATTATTTTCTACATTTACTGAACACAAAAATAATTATTCCTCTCATGGCTAAACTTTTTAGGGCAGTTGGACTTCCCAAAACACAGGCAGTTTTAACAAGGTCTACTCCTACTGACTACTATCTCATCTAGGACAAACCTGCTTCTTTAAGTACCAAAATGCTTTAACTCACTGGATGTACAAACTTTGATTTCAATCACACAACCACCTCCAGTTGTACTACAACAACTATTCATAGAATCATAGAATGGTTCAGGTTGGAAGGGACCTTAAAGATTTAAGTTCCCTTCACAATAATTCTACAAAAAACTAATCCTCTAGGGTGCTAGATGTCAGTGAACTCAACACATTACTCATTTTCTTTTGGGGCATGAACAATAGCCCAACAATACTGCACTTCAATCAATTAATACTTTTAGATTCTTAAGTTTTGGACAAACTAACAAAAAAAGTGAATGCTACATAAGCATTATGGCTTAATTATGCAAGTATTCTTGCAAAGTTTCTACACTAACATTACATAAATACAGAATACTGAATAAAACAAATATGCTGATATAAATATCACATTGGCAGGGCACTGAGTTGCATCTGCTTTGTGGCCTTTGGGGACCACAATTTGGGATCAAAGGGTACTGCAATATGGAATGATCCTAAACTAGCTGAAGGCAAAGTTCAAAAAACAGCATCAAGAGATTCATTCAGACAAAAATAAGCTCTTTGCTTACCCACCTTCTCCACCCTCTTCAGCGTTTTTTAACAGAAGAGTGGTCATGCACTCCCAGTCCTTCAGGAATTTGCCTGCCCAGTCCCACAAGCTGTCTACAAGGTATGCAACATGTTTGTGTAGCTAGGGATTAAAAACACAAGCTTATGGAAGCAAACACATCATTAAAAGAAATACAGCTTCATATCTTCCTCTCCCTTTTTCCAATTACAAAGTTTTGTCATTCATACATATATTCACACACAGTATTCCAACATATTCTGTTTGAGTCTAACTAACATTTAAACACTGTGTCTTCAATATGATATAAAGCAAGAAAGTGGGGGGGGGAAAGCAGGGAAAAAAAGCTTTTCTTTTCCCTTTTTAGGATAACTTTCCTTTGTAATTTAAGTAATCTCTTTAAAGTCAGCTTCTGTATTGCTTTTATATCGCTGATCGTACAACTAAAATCCAACCTTGGGACTAGAAACAAGTCAACATTTTAAGCAACGTCTGTGAAATTCTTTGCAGAAGGATTCAAAACTGCTGTGTCTGAGACACTTCGGCCAGATGTAGGTCTGCACCACCGCAAAAGCCAAGTAATGAAGTACAGCACTTAAGCTGATAAAACTCTCAGTAAAACTACGCAGTTCTCAGTCAGCATAGAGTCATGGTACAGCAATCCATATCGGCCTGCAGAAAGACACGGACACATACCAAAAAACCCTCGCTCAGTGGTATTAGTCTTTCAGGTTGTTTTCAGAAGCTGTTTCAGCACCGATTCTCTCCATTAGCATAGTTGTAAATTAGTTTTAATACAGCAGAACAGAAATGTCTTCATTAAAAACTCATCCTAGAGAGTGAAACCATCCCAAACACCAAACATTTCAGAGCTCACCACCAGAAATAGTTTTCAAAAGGAAGCCAATGCTTGATTTAACATGCAACACTGGATTCAAAAGGCTTACTGCAGGGGCTGTTCTCCTCACCTCACTCTCCAGGAAAAAACATATTAATCTTTTCAACTGGTCAGTACTCGCCCCAAACTTCCCTCCTCCTCTGGGCTGAACTTCTTCATCTCCCTCATGACTAAGCAGCCTGCCAAACGAAAAGAAAGTCAGTCCAGTTCTGCCATATTCTCTTTATGCTCATTTGCCAACATAACGCTAATTCTGTAAGAACCCAAGGATGGTATTTCTTCTAATGTCTCCTTATTTACTCCAAATCACATTAGACTTTTTTATCAGATGAAAGGAAAAGTGATTAGACTGTTTTCCATTATGAGAAATCTGCTATCCCTGTGGATGCAGAGACTATTTCTGACAGTTTCACAGGTACCCTGCCAGCTTTCTGGACAACAGATGCGGATTCCACAGAGTTGAACATATAATGAGATAGGTATTTGCTCATGCTTGAAAAGGGGCTTGCTCTAGGCTGAATTTAAACCTTAACAACAGGGTAGAGATATTACTGCTCAACCATTATTCACATCACGGTGCATCTTGGAACTGAAGCTTCTTAAAGAAAGCACAGTATCTTGTATTTATACAAGGCAATTTACTCAATTTCACAAATACCATGGAAAAACTGTTCTTCATCTTCTGTCTGAAGTATGAGGCACGATATGACACTTCAATTTCCATTTCCCTCTTTATCCAAAATGAGTGTGACCGTAAGGTTCACAGAAGGTGCTAATCCCAAGATAAATACAGGAAGGCCATCCCCACAGATTAATATAAAGCCCTGATGGCTTGGATTTAAGAGCAGGACCACACTACTCAATGTCAGTAAAAGCTTATACTTTCTGAAAGTGTTTCTGCTGGAATAATTTATGCCAGCTAAGTAAGTAACGTAAGTTAAAAATGCAGACATTGAG